TATTATTCCAGTGGTGAAAATGAACTTATGTAAATTTAATGTTTCAAATTTGATGATAGAAAGAGATGGAAGATGCAAAACATTTAAAGGGATAATGTTTGGAGAAAAACTTGGTAAAAAGCAGCGACATATCCTTTTTGTACATTTTTGTCTACGTGGACACAAAATGACTTCTTTTATGTCTCGAAGACTTAAATAGATTTTTGTTTCTGTTATCATAACAAAAAAAAAATGTTTAGAATTTTTTACTTTTTTTTTTTGGTTTTCGAAACAATTTAAAAGAAGATAAAATGGGCGGTGTCTATTGGTTAGAGATAAAATTGAAAGATAGGGGAACAACTTTTTAAAAGAAGAGAAAATGGGTGGTGTCTTTAAAGTTGGCTTCAAAAATATATTTTAATCCTTTAATATATAAAATTAGACATTTTTAGCCCTTTATGTTTTTCTAAATTCAATTTTGATATACAATTTCATTTATGTTGTTTTTAAGTCTCTAGTTGTATCTCTAATTTTGAAGATATATTTATGTTATTTTTAATTCTCTAGTTTTATCTCTAGTTTTTAAGATATATTTATTCCTTTTTAATAATATATAAGGGATATTATGCCTCATTAAAACTATCATGTCAATATAACACCCAAACCTCACCTCTCCTCTCTGTAAAAGAATAAGTTTAATGGGCTGCAAGAATTAAGAAGTTTTAGAACCTCGTCGAGCTTTTCTAACATGGATTTGAAATGGATCACTGCTCTCGTATACGTTATAGGCTCGTGAGTGCACAGAAAGAGTGACAGAGGAGTTAGGAAGAGGAGCTGGGAATTCTTTTAGTTCGGGTTTTCCTGCTTTCGAAGTAGAATTTGAGGAACTCCGCCAATTTGCCTGGTCAATAGATCCATGTGGTACTCTTATGAAGACAGAAGCACGCGTCTTCACGCTTTGGATGGGTGCTTGGCATGCATGCTACTTATCGCTTGTCCCCGAGGGCCGAGTGCCTTGTTAAAACTTGAGAAGTTCTTATGACATCCATGTTCAAATTTTAGCGGGGAGGTGGGATTTATGAAAGAAACGGTCATATCATTTAGATTTTTGTTCAAGAAAGAAATCTTATTGGAACTGTCCATACCCAGTTGATCCTTCAGAACCAGATCACATCCCGGAGTGGGAGACTCAGAGTCGAAAAGAGGATTCCTCGCTTATTTCTCTCATTCAAAACCGTGGGTGAGACTTTTATGCAGAGCCCCAGGAACAATTCGGCTTCACAGTTACAAAAACAGCACATATATGTAATATAAATCAACACATGAAATGTTAATTTAATCACAAACTAAAATTAAGGCGTAATAATTTATCAAAAAAGGAAATGATTGCGATACATATATAATGTCATTGTTTTGATGAGAAGAAGTGCAAGATGGTAGTGGACATGTTGCGTATCCTCAGAGTTCCTATAATGCAAGTCCAATTTTTCACATTACATTAGCAAATTCCCCAGTGCTTTGGTGCTGAGAACACCTCTATAGCCATAGCATATGAAAAGCAGCCATGGCTAAAGCAGGGACTTGGGCTGCTGTTCCTGTGATTTGTTACAAGTAGCCCTCCGAATCCTAGTGCATATGAGCCGCAGCCGCCTCCTGTACTAAAGGTCGACTTACATGCACAAAATGCTCCGCTTCCCTCTCAACCTGCTCCAAACACCGGTCTGGACTCTTCACTTCATTCATCTTCTTCACAAATCCCACAAAGCGTCTCCAGTTATCTGGTTGAAATAAGTGAGGGTTCATTCTCAAGTACGTAAAAGCACACATCTCCCTGTCTTTTGAGTTTCCATCAATATTCAATGATGAAGCCTGCAAAATTTGCTCATGTGCGTTCTCATCATATCTTGGCAGTGCATTTTCCCCGGCAAGAGGAACCTCTGCTTCCCGCGTTGCTAAAGCCACTTGCCTCACAAGCTTCTCAGGGGCACAAAGGGCATCCTGTGGCTGTTCATGGTCACGCATTTCTATACAAGTGAAATTGAATATAGCACCGTGCCGGGCTAACATTTGAGCAATAGGAAGGTAACCATCTCTGTTTCTCGTGTTATAATATCCTGCTGTGAGCTCTGGGGCATGAGACCGGGTTCCATAGTGCCAATGAATTCCTGCAATCTTCACTGAAATCTTTACACCAGTATTCTCAAAGATAGCCTTGGCTGACGACAATATTCTCTCAGCGTGGTCTAAGAGCATCTGCGAGTACCAAGAGAGGAAGAATTCACCATAGGGACAAGTCCAGCCACCACCTTCTTTTCTGAAAAACCGGGTGTCTTCCGGCCAGCTGTTGTACTCACCAGCATCAGTAGGGCCTGTGCTACCCCATTCTGGCTTACCAGCAGCTTCCGCCGCTGCTTTCAAGCTACTCAACATATACTGCATCATGTTACAGATACCAAGTAAGAACCAGAAGATTACAAGTCGGTGGTTTAATCGCTTAAAAGTAAAAAAGAAAGTGAATACCTTATCGTAACATTGGAAGGCTCCGATTCCAGGAAATCTCCAAGTTCCATTCTGCTCCGGGTACGAAGGATAGCGGAGCTCACCTGCTGGACCCATTCCCACTTGCATTTCCTGAAAAGAACAAATTCTCAATGGTTTAGTCAACAAGCCTCTTTCAATACGTATGACAGCATGCTCTGATTTGTTAAAAAAATGTACCAATTCATCACCAACGATGACAAATTATTCAAGCAAAGACATCAAACCGCTACAACTAATTATTGGAGTATAAAACGGGTCGTAATATACAGGGTAATGACAATACAAACTGCATCCATAATTATGCAAAGATGCAGCCCAATTACAAAGTATATAGACAGATTACACTCAAAAGTTGAAAGTTGTAATGGGACAGAATCATCTAAACATATTCAACCAAAATATTTTTAACACATACACGGATTCTATCTAATTCAAATAATAATAATAATAATAATAAAAGACAGATAGCAATGGATAAACAAGTAATTACCACAATGGTGTCACCAAGAAGGTGTTTGAAGTTGTCCCTAAAGGCCCGCATGAAATCAGAGTAACATTGCACAGGTGTCCTCCCCTTGAGAACTGGAATGCTATCGCACCCAAGTGATACATACTCATAATTCCTCCTCCCCCACTGATCAGTATATGCAAGGTCTTGATCTTTATGAACCTCCTCCACAACCCACTTGGGCAATGGAACCCTGCATCCAATATTTTAATACAATTCACATTCACATTCACATTTCCATTACAAATTACTTTCAACTTTGACTGTTTCACCTAAACCATACCAAGTAACAAAAAAGGGAAAATAAGAACGAAAAAAAAAAAATACATACGTGCAAGAATCACCAACGTTGCCGCCACACTGATGAAACGACATCACAGCCTGAACCTTAAGACCATGTCGTTTAGCCATTTCTAAGAGTTCGGTATACCCTCCCCAATTATACACACCAGGCGTGTCTCTCTCCACTAATCCCCACCAGACATCCATCATCACCCCTTCCACGCCTGCGCTCTTCAACGCCTGTAAACTTGCGTTCATCGCTTTCCTTCTATTCACTGTGTTACCCATCGTCACGCTATCCAACGGCA